TCATTTTCGTTGGATATTCAGAAGATTCCAAGGCATACAGACTTTTCAATACTTCTACTCATGAAGTGTCTAGAGCAAGAGATGTCATTTTCCTAGAAGATAAGTTCAATAATATTGAAAAAGAGACTAATGCATGCATAAACATAATTCCTCTAAATGAATTACTATCTTCAGATGATGCAAATTCTTGTTCGAAAGATTGCATTAGTCAGGAATACATCGAGGAAAATGTTGAAGTTGAGGATAACTCCGAAGAAGACATTTCACAACAATCAAACCTGGATGGGAGAACGGGTAGTTTACATGCAGAAACAAGATACCCGCAGCGCCAGCGCACGATGAAGGTGTATCCAGATTTTATGGTCTACCAAACAATTTGCGATTCAGTCACTGAACCACAAACCATAACGGAAGCACTTTCTGGTGAATATTGCGCTGAATGGAAGATTGCTATGCAAACTGAAATTGATTCTCTACATGAAAATCATACTTGGGACCTTGTGGGCAAACCAAATAATAAAAATATTGTTAAATCCAAATGGGTTTTCAAACTCAAACGAGATTCCAATGGAGAAATAGTCCGTTTTAAAGCCAGACTTGTTGCCAAAGGATTTACGCAAAAATTTGGCGTAGATTACTTTGAAACTTTTTCTCCTGTTATCAGACACTCTTCATTGCGTTTTCTATTCGCCATAGCTGTTCAATATAACCTGGAAATGAAGCACTTAGATGTGGTCGCAGCTTTCCTGCATGGCAACCTGGAAGAAAATATCTACATGGCTCAACCAGAAGGTTTTATTGTTGAGGGGGAAGAAAGCAAAGTGTGTCTCCTTCGAAAGGCTATTTATGGCCTCAAACAGTCAGCACGGGCCTGGAACAAGATTATTGACGAAGTTCTTCGTACTCTAGGTTTCCAAAAATCGGACCACGAAAGCTGTTTGTATTTCATGATAAGAGACATTCGCATCGTGATTTTGGCATTGTATGTTGATGATTGTTTTCTTTTCTACAATGATCACCATGAAACTGAAAAGTTAATCAAAGAACTTTCACTGCATTTTCACATCAAGGATTTGGGTGTGACTAGTCATTGTCTTGGAATGAAGGTCACTATCGACAAGAAGAAAGGGCAAGTTGTTCTCAGTCAGAGACAATATATCAATGATTTGCTGAATAAATTTGATATGCAAGATTGTAATCCAGTCAACACGCCATTGGATGCTGGTGTGAAGTTTACGAATGATTTCCAAAACTGTTCAGAAAATGTTCCATATCAGCAATTAATTGGATGTTTGATGTATTTGTGTGTCATGACTCGACCTGATATTTCCTTTGCTTGTTCTTACTTGAGTCAATTCAATATAAAACATTCTGCAGAACATTGGCAAGCTGTTAAGCGTGTTCTACGATATCTTAAGGGAACTGCAGATTTGGGAATTGTGTACAGTAAGAATAGTGAAAATATTCTTACTGGTTTTGCTGATGCTGATTGGGCCAGTGATGCTTCAGATAGAAAATCTTTTACTGGATTTGTTTTCAAATTCGCAAATGCTGCTGTTTCCTGGGAATGCCGAAAACAATGTACAGTAGCTATGTCCTCCAGTGAGGCTGAATATATGGCTTTGAGCGATTCTACAAAGGAAGCAATTTATCTGAAGAACCTTTATACTGAGATGTTGGGAGTTTGCAAGCCAGTGAAATTATTCAACGATAATCAGAGTGCACAGAAAATTGCTTCAAACCCAGTTATGCATAGAAGAACGAAACATATTGACGTACGGTTTCATTTCATCAGAGAAAAAATCGACCAAGAGGAAATTTCGTTGGAATATCTGCATACATCTGAGATGGTAGCGGATATTTGTACTAAACCTCTTCCCAAACCAAAACATGAATTTTGTGTCAGAGGTTTAGGTCTTTATAAGGTTGTTTAACTATTTCATTATGTGGGAGTGTTGAAATATGTAATGCAATAGTTGCTTGATTTCAATAAGATCATTGTGTTATGTTACATCACCCTATGTATGAAACAGTTTAGTTAGTTGTCATAATAAAATTTGGTAACGTCATTGTATTTTCTTCAATCAAACAGAAAATATTAGTTTTTACCTCCATTGCCTAAATTCTAACAATAACAGTGTGGGTAATACGAACATCTTGATATGGTCGATCATCAGTATCACAGATAGCCTCATTTATTATTTCTAGTGTATCAAAGCCCTCAACTACTTCCCCAAATACACAATGCTTTTCATCAAGGTAAGATAAATCATCACCAAGAGTGATGAAAAATTGTGAACCAATCATCCTTTCTTCATTGCCTACAAAGGATATCAAACCCATTCTGGTGTGTTTTATTCTTGGCTCATTTTCACCTTCAAAGTATCTTTTTTCTGTGCCATCCAACACTCCATATATTGATTCTCCACCACTTCTACAACCAGTAGGATCACCTGTTTGTGCCATAAACCCTCTACTTATTGTGTGGAACAGATTGTAGTTGTAATATTTGATTTTGCACAGTTTCATGAAATTCTGACAGGCCCTGGGTCTTTCAGAAAGAAATAGATCAACAGTTAAATCTCCCACTGTAGTCTCGATTAGGACAGACATGGTGGTAATTATTCAATTGCTTTTTGAAAGTATTATGCTTATTGTGTTTTTATCTCTGAATTTTTACAAAAATATTCATGAACATAATGTGGAATTTATTAATTTTCATCTGAGATCACTGATAATGTTCAACTTCACACTGCACTGCTGTTCATTCATGCAATGGCGGCTAGATATTTAGACTGTCTGACAGTCTAGATATTTAGCCGTCATTGATTCATGACAAGTTTAGGGCACGTTGAGGGTTGCGTCGTTGCGTTGAAGGTTGTTCTCTGGTTGCGTGCAAGAACTGTCATATGACCGACGCTGGAGGCAAAACATTGAAACACAATGTCACTTTTCTTATTTGTTTACAAGTGATCGAAATAGTTTTCCACAATTATTTTGGCATACAAATCGTATTTTTCCGCTGATTTCTCATCGGAATTCCTTCTGCGATAGGAGCTAATAGAAATACACCTGAAATTTCTAAAACAATGCAAGAAGATTGGATTCATGCAATCAATCCGGAGGACTAGTCTGACATGCTGACGATATCGTGTGTGTTGTAGACTTGTAGACATTTTCAATCTATTAGCAGTATAAGCTTGTATTGCAGAAGTGGCAGAAGGAATTTTAATAAGGAATGACAACATTTCATAATGATAACTATGTGAGATTACTATTTACCTGAAAAATCATATTCTTTAGTCTCTTGCTGCATTTTTTGTGCACTGTACAACAGCACAATGCGAAGGCATGCTCGAATTAATGAATAGCGCAAAAAACACGATTCGTATGCCAAAATATTGTGAAAAACTATTTTAATCCTTTGATTCTTCTGTAACCAAATAAAAAAGTGAGGTTGTATTTCAATAATTCACGGAAGAATGAGGTTGTGTTTCAATATTCTGCCTCCAGGGTCGATCATTGTGCACGCGACCCATCCTTGGGTTGTTCCCATATATGTACTATTTCTATATATGGCGCATCGCCTATACTATAACCAGAATGGGAGGTACTTTTTGAATCTATAAGGACGGAAAGTGAAGGATGGAAACAATATACCGGTCTGACAAGTTTTGTATTATTCTTTCCCTACGTCGGTATCACCGCCTATTGGTCGATTTCGTTACCCAATGATGGAAATAAGAATATTCTGGATGGATATATGCACTGAGCTGGTTGGTCAGACTGAACGTCGAGTGATTTTTCTGAAATTTTCAATACGTAATAATGGCCGAATGCGCGCACCATATCTTATTTCCATCATTGGGTAACGAAATCGACCAATAGGCGTTGATACCGACGTAGAGAAAGAATAATACAAAACTTGTCAGACCGGTATATTGTTTCCATCCTTCACTTTCCGTCCTTATAGATTCAAAAAGTACCTCTCATTCTGGTTATAGTATAGGCGATGCGCCATATATAGAAAATAGTACATATATGGGAACAACCCAAGGATGGGTCGCGTGCACAATGATCGACCCTGGAGGCAAAATATTGAAACACAACCTCATTCTTCTGTGAATTATTGAAACACAACCTCACTTTTTTATTTGGTTACAGAAGAATCAAAGGATTAAAATAGTTTTTCACAATATTTTGGCATACGAATCGTGTTTTTTGCGCTATTCATTATTTCGAGCATGCCTTCGCATTGTGCTGTTGTACAGTGCACAAAAAATGCAGCAAGAGACTAAAGAATATGATTTTTCAGGTAAATGGTAATCTCACATAGTTATCATTATAAAATGTTGTCATTCCTTATTGAAATTCCTTCTGCCACTTCTGCAATACAAGCTTATACTGCTAATAGATTGAAAATGTCTACAAGTCTACAACACACACGATATCGTCAGCATGTCAGACCAGTCCTCCGGATTGATTGCATGAATCCAATCTTCTTGCATTGTTTTAGAAATTTCAGGTGTATTTCTATTAGCTCCTATCGCAGAAGGAATTCCGATGAGAAATCAGTGAAATTACCAAATTTCAAAAATGAAAACTATATGTGAGTGACTATAACAGATACTTACTTTTAATCATAATGTACCAACCGGATTACTTCGTCTTCCGCTGCAATTTTTGTGCATTTCACAACAGCATGGCATGAGCGAATCGATGAATAGCGGAAAAATACGATTTGTATGCCAAAATAATTGTGGAAAACCATTTCGATCACTTGTAAACAAATAAGAAAAGTGACATTGTGTTTCAATGTTTTGCCTCCAGCGTCGGTCATATGACAGTTCTTGCACGCAACCAGAGAACAACCTTCAACGTAACGACGCAACCCTCAACGTGCCCTAAACTTGTCATGAATCAATGACGGCTAAATATCTAGACTGTCAGACAGTCTAAATATCTAGCCGCCATTGCATGAATGAACAGCAGTGCAGTGTGAAGTTGAACATTATCAGTGATCTCAGATGAAAATTAATAAATTCCATATGTTCATGAATATTTTTGTAAAAATTCAGAGATAAAAACACAATAAGCATAATACTTTCAAAAAGCAATTGAATAATTACCACCATGTCTGTCATAATCGAGACTACAGTGGGAGATTTAACTGTTGATCTATTTCTTTCTGAAAGACCCAGGGCCTGTCAGAATTTCTTGAAACTGTGCAAAATCAAATATTACAACTACAATCTGTTCCACACAATAAGTAGAGGGTTTATGGCACAAACAGGTGATCCTACTGGTTGTAGAAGTGGTGGAGAATCAATATATGGAGTGTTGGATGGCACAGAAAAAAGATACTTTGAAGGTGAAAATGAGCCAAGAATAAAACACACCAGAATGGGTTTGATATCCTTTGTAGGCAATGAAGAAAGGATGATTGGTTCACAATTTTTCATCACTCTTGGTGATGATTTATCTTACCTTGATGAAAAGCATTGTGTATTTGGGGAAGTAGTTGAGGGCTTTGATACACTAGAAATAATAAATGAGGCTATCTGTGATACTGATGATCGACCATATCAAGATGTTCGTATTACCCACACTGTTATATTGGATGATCCTTTTCCAGATCCTGCAAAGTTATATGTGCCCTCTAGGTCTCCATCACCTAGTAGTGAGAGACTCAAAGGTGGGCGAATAGCTCCAGATGAGGATATAGATGAGATGGAAGGTAAAACAAATAAGGAAATTGCTGAAATGCAAGCTGAACGTGAAGCAAAAGCTCGTGCAACAATTCTTGAAATGGTTGGGGACTTACCTGATGCAGATATGGCTCCTCCTGAAAATGTGTTGTTTGTTTGCAAGCTGAATCCAGTGACAACTGATGAAGATTTGGAAATAATTTTCAACAGGTTTGGTAAAATCAAATCTTGTGAGGTCATTAGAGATCGTAAGACTGGTGATTCACTTCAGTATGCTTTTATTGAGTTTGAAGAAGAAAAATCATGTGAAGATGCATATTTCAAAATGGATAATATTCTAATAGATGATCGTAGGATACATGTTGATTTCAGTCAGAGTGTCTCCAAGATAAAATGGCATGGTAAAGGTAGAGGTGTCACCCATTATGATGACAAAGGGAGAAAAATGATTCATGGTAATAATGATATTGGTAAAGGTAATTATAAACCTGTTCACCTGAAGAACAAACCACAATCATTTGAACCTAGTTTGTCTCCTAGAAGAAACTCAAGGCATATTAGGAGTGATAAATCCCCATCAAAATCTCCAGTAGCAGATAGAAGAAACAGGATCCTATCAAGAAACAACAACAATAATTCAAAACAGAGAAATGATGAATCTCACTATAAGAGAGACAGATCTAGATCTTCTTCAAAACCAAGAAAATATGAATCCAGAGATTCTAATAAAAAAAGGAAAACATCTTGTTCACCTAGAAGATCAACTGTATTGAGAAAAAATAATAAAAGGGAGTCTAGGTCAATATCAAATTCACCTAATAGAAGTCAAAATAGGCTTTCCTATAGAAAAAAAGAACAATCTAAATCACCTAAAAGAAATAGATCATCATCACATTCTAGGAATAAATCTCCTAGAAACTTTGATAGAAGACTGAATGAATACAGTTCATCTAGAAGAAAAGAGGAGTCTAAATCAGTCACATCAAGAAAATATGATTCCCATCAGAATTACAAAAATAAGAATAGTTCCCAATATTATTCTAAAAGAAATAATAGTAGTTCTCCCTCATGTGAAAAGAGAGATAACAAATATAGAATCAAGAATAATGAAGTTTCAAAATCCACTAGGATGACAAATGATGATTCAGATAAGTATTCCAGAGGAAAAACATACTCATCAAAAGAGAAGAGAGAAAATCACTCTTCAACACTTGATGAGAAGAATAAAGAACAAAAGGGTAATATGGGGTATGCAAAAAAGAACAGTAAATCTGCTGAGGTATCATACTCAGCTATAGATGAGAAAATACAAGATAAAAAGACCAACAAATCTTCAAAAGAGAAAAACAAAAAATTCTTGAAGAAAAAGAAAGTACCTGAAGATTCTACTGACAGTGAAAATGAAACACACTCTAGTGCTGATGAGAAATCTCATAAGGAAAAGAAAAAAACTAAATATACCCATAGTGAGAGCTCAAGTGAAAATGATTCATCTGTAGAGGTAGACCAAAAAAAGAAGAAAATGAAAAGAGTCCCAGAAAGCACCAGCTCTAGTGATACTAGTGAGGAGAGTGAAGATGAAGGGAGAAATGAAAAATCTGCCAAGAAAAGGACTGAGAATAAATGCAGTACTAGCCATAGTGATCGAAAACAAAAGCAGAAAGTGAAAAAAACTAGGAAATCCAAAAAGGAAACAAGTAGTAGCAGCAGTAGCAGCAGCAGTAGCAGCAGTAGTAGTAGCAGTAGTAGCAGCAGCAGTAGCAGCTGCAGCAGTAGTAGTGATGAGAGTATTGAAATGAAACCCAAGAAAAAGAAAAGGAAATAACATTGATCCAATGATTTTATTATGAGTTTGTATTAGGGCTGTGCAAGAATATCCATATACATATATATATATATAAAGTACTGATGTATTGGTAGAACCCCATTTCTCCAATAAATATATTTGAAAAATATTAATACATATGGATATTGATACACAGGGATATACAGATAAAAATCAAGACTAAACCATACATTGATATGAAGTTTCCAATATTCTACTGCCCTAGCTTGTACATCATAATTAATACATAATTTTTAGATGTAATAAGTACATATTTGATAATAATGGTGAATGAATTGTTAATTTCATTCCTGTAGATTATTTTTATATTTTCACTGTGGAAAACATACACATAAACTATAGTAAGTAGGAGAATTGAATTGTTCTTCTGATCCCAGTACTGAAACATCACCTTCTCAACTCATGCACTTCTATGTACAGTCTTTCATTGTGATATTTCTACAGTTGACATAACTTATTTTTAAATTTTTGGTATTAAATTTATTTCTCTTTTGAAATAAAGGCTAACAATTTGAAATTCGGTGAACACGTTACCGTTGATTATCAACCAACAACGTTACTATGGACAGAATTAATATTCCATATTGATAGACTTGGCAAAGCTATACTGGGTATCATTATTTTGAGTCATCTGGTATTGAATCCTGAATTATTTATTCGGACACCACTGGTGGGCTAAAACCATTGGAGAGCTAACTTGGCTAACCTCAAGAGAACATAAAAGGCGTTGATAACTCGATCCAGATAGATGACGTGACAAAAAAATCGGATCATCTACTCGTGTTCAACGTTTACGAACGTGTCAGGTTAGGAACACTGAATATTATATTTTTCCTGTGGTTTCATGAATTTGACTGACGAAAATGGTCACATTATATTCAAGTAACTATTTGATCTGATTACAAATATTTATATTTACCTGTGGATTGGTGTACTTGTCTCATATGTGTTGTTGCACATAACCACAAACTTCACCCCTACCCAAATTCTCAAATTATGAAGATTGAAATGAACATGTATATCACCGATCGTGATTTTTCCCAACATGCAGATTATTTTATTATTATTGTTATCGTCGAATGTAAACTCCCGCGTTTTTTTATTGACTTAAATTCCGTAATGCGCATGCGGTGGCCTTTGCAACTGGCGAGAATTGACAAGCCCCGGGGTTTATCGCGGGAGAGAGAAGGACATATAATGCCCTCTCACTCGCGAGAATGCATTTGGCACATAGCCGAAGCACAGTACTTCATCATACTTCGTCTCGTAAGCAACTGGTTGGCTCAGTAGGCAGAGCATCGGCATGTCAAGCCGGCGGGCCGGGGTTCGAATCCGTGCGAGGCTCATCTTTTTTTTATTTTTTTCTTGTTCTCAAGTGATTTCTAAAAAATATTCTCTATGGGAAATAGGTTCATTTAGGGGTTTTCTATGTTTGTGGTTTAGGCCAGAGGTGAGGTTCGGTTAGGTTAGGTTAGGTTAGAATAGAATAGAATATTTTATTTGGTGTTAATAAACATTAAGTTTTACACAGGTCAACGAAACAAGTACAGATATACTCATAAAATAGATAGGTTAGGTTTTCTCATTTTTTATGCAGAAACAATATTTTCCTTCCTCAAGAAAAATTCTCCTTCTTCAAGAAAAAAGGTTCATCTGAGCGAGAGCGAGTTATACGTCCTTCTCTTTCCCGCGATGAACCCCGGGGCTGGTCAATTCTCGCTTGCAACTGTGGCGACCCTGCTTTTGAGTAGGGTCACGAAAAATCAACCCGAGTCAGTGATCGAGTTAGCATCATTCAAGTTTCCAAACAGAGGTAGGTAACTCGGTTTGGGTAACCGAACGTTCAGGTTAGTGATCCGAACAACCCGAGTAAGTTTCCGAAAACGCCTATAATGTTCATGTTTCTAACGACTTGACAAGGATTGATTCATATAGTCCAATAGTTGGTCATCAGATGGCAGAAATATTCATGTACCTCCTAGATTGAAACGGACTGCATGACGAAGATACAGCGAACAACGATAATTCCGAAAGAAGAATCTCAAGAAAATGTGTTTCAGATTGTAATGGAAATATTCGAGATAATTCGGCAATACCGAGGGCAATATACTCGGGTCAACAATAAACGATACCGATAGAATATAGACTATTTTTTTTTATTTCTTAAATAGAATCATCACTCAAACAACTTTCAATTTCATATTTTTTTAGAATTTTTCGTTCGATTCAAGGTGCTTAAATCATCAATAATGCCACGGGAATTTTCAAACTGCTAAAAATTTACCGCGAATAAAAACAGACGTCACGATTTCGTAATTAGGGACAGACCATAGCACAGTTGCCATTGATGAAATACAATTGGACCTTCAAAAATATTAGTTATTCAATAAATCATAAATTCTCAAATCTCAATTCTGTATTCCTAATTAGACATTAACATCAATTGTCTCGAAATACCCCTCATCTGTTATGGCTTGTTGCTTATAATACAGTTGTGTTAATAATATTATTATTATTATATTAATTCACACTAGAGGACATTTGAGGGTAAACGTGACAACACGGCGCACAAAATGTGGGCGGTGCCTTGTCAGTTCTCAGCATTCAGCACATTGTTGCCAAGTCTTCAACATCAACATGATATTTTGTTATGGAGCATAAGAAATATTTGGACATGCTGGGTTGCTCGAGAAGGTCAAGAATGAACTATAATATCATATGGCTTCCTCATATTATGTTATATCTCATGTTAAATCTTTTTGATAAATTGTTTATGATTGGTGGATTGACAACTTTGCTTCATGAGTGAAATGGAAGATTTTCTGACCAATAACAAAACAGCATAAAAACTAACATCACCATTTATTTGACTTAACGCCAAATGGCGGGGCCTTGACGGTACGTTTGAAATGAACTCTAAAATTGATCTTCTGTATTTCTCAATTTATGGGCTTTCAAAATTAACGATCGTTTTTGAATGATTTTCGAAAGTAGACCTTGTCAATGATTACTATATCGATTATCAGTGATCACCGCCAATGATAATTGAATGTCATAGGTAGCGATATAGATATATTGTCATGACGTTTTTTTCGAAAATCGTTCAAAATTCGATCATTCGTTAGTTTAGAAAGCCCATGAATTAAGAAATACAGAAGAAAAATATATTGAGTGTGGTATTTTTGGAGAGCTTTTCAAAAAGTATTTCCAATGGTGAGGAAATATATATGGTGTTCTATTCAAAATCAATACACTTATTTTTACTGCACCCTGTATATATTCGCAGATAGTTAAAACATATATTGTTTCGAGAAGGAAAAAACCTCTCTGCTAGTCTGTTTTTTTATTCTTCTTCTACTTTCAAAAATAAATGAGTTACAGAGGGTTGTACTTTATAACGTATCACCCAGTACAGTACATTAAGTGAAATTTGGATGGAATGTCATAAGTGCATATGATATGTTAAATATTAATAAACAATTATTGCATGATAATTTGAAGCTTAAGATATATCATTTTAACTAAATTCAAGATGAAGAATGACATCCCATCTCATCCATTTCATTCATTCGATCCTCTATTATTTCCAGCATATATTTGTATTCCAAACCTTCTACCCATAGTTTCTTCAATTCTTCCCTGCGACAACTAAGTTTCTTCTTACAGTCTTGAAGTTGCTTTTTCACCTCCGAAATTTTTTCTCTGTTTGTTACAACGATTTGAGAAACTACTCCAAATAGTTGCATTACCTTGAAAACAAAAAAGTGATAGAATTTAGAGACTAGAATTTTCAGGACATTGAATATACGTGATATATTTTACAACTCATGGTTTTTCAACGCCTTCACAAATGATTCAATATGATATCATTATCACATATGGGAATTGAAACTGAACATAAAAGGTATAATTCACTAATTCAGGGTGTAACATGCATATTAGTATGTTGAAATATTTAAATGAGGACGTTACTCCTGAGACAATTTTAAGAAAAAAGTGTGCCCTGAAATGTTTCATTTCAGAGATATACATATATATACAGTTTTGAAGTGGAAATTTTTCTTCGGGGCAATAACACAAAACGAAGCTGGAGTTGATCGTTTTCGAGTTATTTGAAATTGTATAGAGGGTGTCCGCTAATTAATAGTACACAACAAAACTGCAGATTCCTTGAATAAAAATACTATGAGATTTAGCCAAACAACACTCTATCAAAACTCGTTCATCTATAGAACGGCGAAGCTTTGGAATTCTTTGCCAATGGAGGTATTCCCAAGAACTTATTAGTTATAATCTCGGAAAGTTCAAAACAAATTCCAACACCTACCTCCTCTACCTATCTCCGATGTTTCACGAACATTATAGGAATTTCCGTTCGTGTACCCGAAGAGAAAAAACAATAACCTCAGTCCAGATCTAGGTATTTATTACTAAATATCAATTCGCATTTCATTTTTTCTCAATAATTCATCAACAAGGTGACAAAACGGCACAAATTTTTGGCATTTAGGGGTTTTCTGATTTGAGAAATTCAAATCCGTTCTTAGTTTGGATGTCACTTGTAGAGGGCGCCACTTACGGTACATTAAATCTAAATGATTCAACTCCCGATATCCACGAAGTGGGCGACATCTACTTTTATAAAGTTATACCATAAACTCCAGGAAAACAAACAAGTCAAAGGAAAGGTGTCAATAAAGTCATTATTAAGATGGCTTATATCATTGTGGTGATATATTAATATCCAATATTCCCTTTAGTTTGCATAAATTGTTAATTTTGCGTTTGTGAATCTCAAGTTCATAGTTTTGTTATGACGAGTAAAATGAAGAATTTTTGTTCTGTACGGAAGTGTAAGAATTAAACATTAGAAAATGTTTTGATGCACTTCTTCCCAAAAAACAGTAATTGGCGAATGAATGGAAAAACAGATTGGAAATCGAAAAACCGATCTGTGTTTTCAGTGAATACTTCAGTTTGGAATATTTCACACTAGTCATTAAGAATTATTTTCCTCGTTATTTTCCTGATAATTGGGTGTTCAACAAATGTGATGAGGCAAATAACCAAGAAAGTAACTATATAGTTGTTTTCTGTTGAATATTCCGAATATATAATAACAAAATATCAATTTGCATTTTATTTTTTCTCAATAATTCATTAACACATTGCCAAGGAAGGTGTTCCCCGAGGCATATAACCTCCAGGAATTTAAGAAGAACACCAATTCCTGCCTCATTTCCCTTGGTTCTCACCGGTTCTCACGATGTTCTCTGAACATTACAGGATATCCCTTTTCGTGGGAACAAGAATATAAATATATACGTATATTTTTATCTGAAAGATAATGCAAATTCTCAACGTCAGAAGATTTTATTTCAAATTCAATATCTACCTACCAATTCACATATATTAGTAAAGCGCAACAACATGCTTACAAAAGCCAGATTGACCTGCTTTACAACTGCATATACAGATATGTACACTGATATACCTACTGATCCAAAATTCAATTTGACTTCCTGTGGATGAGCTTTTAATGCAGAACGTTCTAAACAAAGACCAAAAATTCGTCTATTTTCCAAATCTTCTACCTGGCACAGGACTAATTTTCTCACTCAAATACTCAATAATATAAGCTTAATTTATGTTCACAATAGGCACAAAATTATAATTTGATAGTCCAGATAAACCACCACAAGGACATCTGAGAAATGACATATGATATGACATCAAGATGACAAACCCTTAGTTTTCCATAGTTTTGGTGTGACATGTCTGGTGTAGATGGTGATCAGAAACTCTTTTGTGTCATGGTGTAATTATTAGTCTAAAAATGTTGAAGTTTATGTGTTTAACACATTTTTCATATTATCATGTTTGTTATTGCATCTGGTTTGATCACAGCCTACTAAAAAAAAAAACTGGGAATTTGCAAAGTTGTATAGAATAATTGATACAGAGATATCTCAAAAACAGCCACTCCATGAAACATTTGCATTTTTCACCTACAAAAATTGGAAAAATATTATAAACCAGATGTTTGCTTCTGTCATGTAGCAACTGGTTTTCAATAAGGGTAGCAGATGTTAGAGTATTGAAAGGATGCCTATATAACAGTGATAAAATTGTAACCACTTTAATTTTCATGGAGGATCACTTTTCCAACAACAAAAACAAGCCAAAAACATTTGAACACATGAATGAGATGGAGTAACTAATGAAGTAAGGTACAGAAATGAGGATAATTCCTCAGGTAATTCTCCATTAGTTTCAAATCAACAACAAGCTCAAAAGTGAATGATTCAGAAGGGTTCATTATCAGATGAGTCGAAAAAATTACACTTAGTATTGCTATGAAGAATTAAGCAATATATATTATCTAGATTATTCATACTGCCAATAGTAACATGTTCCCCAAATTTTCAATTTTGTTCCAGCAGAGATGAAATTCCAAAGGAAATATCTAAGGGAAATTTACCACCCCTTATACTTATCAAAAATTAGATATTTTTCAGGATAAAGTAGAAAACGGCAGATATATTTCCAATTTCTTTATTGATTGTTTAAGAGAAACAAGTTGAACCTGAGACACTCTGGATATACAGGATGATTCATAACATCATAACGCGATTCATAATGAATTGTACACAGAGCAATACCTAGTGACCTAATGAGGGGTAGCACAATGGTCCATAAGCCATAAGGATGTCTCATTTTTATTAATGATAAACTATGAATTATAGGTACAGAATCTACTCAACACCAAGACACAAATGAGGACATACTGAAGTGTATATATATTCTTGAGTAGTTTGCTGTCTTAATGTATTGAAATAACCCAGAATCAACTCTCTTTTCCATCCATCCAAATTGATTGGTTGAAGAAGAGTTAGTTAACTTACCTTAGACAGATCTTCTTCATGACTTGAAATCAGTTCATCCAGCCTTTGATCACAGATTTTATAATCATTTTCCAATTTTGCTCTTTCTTTATCCCTCTGTTCATTAGTTTCACTTTCAGAAAGTGTTCTAATTACTGACATCAGTATACCACTCTGGAACAGTATAATAAATCAAAATTTTAATGCATACATAGGGAAGTAATTTATTCAGAACAATATGAATTTACAGATAAAAATAGGATCAAATGATTTGTTAATGAAACTACTTTCAGTTTCAGTGAAAACTAATTTATATGTACCGTTTCTCTAACTGGTTTCATGGGTTTCATCCCTCTGGGTGGTTTAATCGGGGGTGATTGCTCCATAATTACTCAATTTAATTTTCAAAGTTCCAGTACACAGTATTCAGGGCACTTGCTATTCATTGAATTTGTGTGAAAGTAATAACACATAACTAATAATAGTAATAATACAAAATACAATGAAACCTGAGAACGATAACATTTTTCAAATTAATAACCTAGAAAGATGAAATGTCAAAGATGACATTTTGAATTCAAAATCTTCTTCTTCTTCAAATATATCCAGCACAGTAGCTTACAGATCAAGTAGTCACACCATATATATGTACTATTTCTATATATGGCGCATCGCCTATATGATATATCAACAGAAATGGGACATGAATGGGACCAAAATAAGAGGTACTTTATAGGCTATATTCCGAATTCAACTGGTTATGAAGTATATCGCTAAAATCTTCTCTGCTGGTAGTTCTAGTTTAGTTATGGTGTAGGTGGTTCTGTGTATACTTCATTCATATGTCAATTATGTCATGTCAGAAGTGTCAACGTCATGTATGTCACACATGTCAGAGAGACTTATAATCTTAATGATGAGATGGTAATTGTAAAAGTTGTAGAAGGTATGAAGGGTTTGAGTAAATCAATATAATGAAGATGCAGTGTTTTATTACAAAAATAATATAATTATCAGTTAGAATTATATATTAAGAATAAATATTCAAGAGGTTATGGGCCCAGCAACTGGGATGAAAGAAATATTCCAAGATTGAATATAAATAAATTGAGGACTCAAAAAATGAATGATATGGCACATGGTGGAAAATACAATATCGAAGCCTTAACAGGCGATAACTATCAGAATTGGAAATTCAGAATGCAGTTGATCTTAGAGGAGAATGGAGTATTGGAGTATGTTGAAAAAGAAATAAATGTAGCAGCACTTGATGAAGAAGGGAAAAGGAAATTCTATAAAAATGATAGCAAGACGAAATCATTATTAGTACAATGTGTTTCTGATACACATTTAGAGAGTCTAAGGGATAGAAAGAGTGCTTATCAAATGTGGAGAGTCTTGGAAGAAAAATTTGAGAAGAAAGGTTTGACGGGCCAACTATATTTGAAGAAAAGAATGTTGTCCATGAAGCTGAAGGAAGGTGAATCACTTCAAAAATTCATTGTTGATTTTGAAGAGATCCTGAGACAACTGAAAAACACAGGTGTCAATATTGATGAGAAGGATATCATTTGCAATCTATTATTAACACTACCTAAGTCATATGAAACTGTAGCTACTGTCATCGAAAATCTACCACCTGATACATTAACTTATGAAAATGTTAAGAAGAGATTACTAAGTGAAGAAGAGAAACGACAGTTATGCAAAACAAATTATGGGCCTATTGAGCAAACAGCTTTCAATTGTGAAAATCAAAACAAAGCTGAGTGTTACAGATGTGGAAGACCAGGACACTTCAAAAGGGAATGTAGAGTGCAACTCACAAACACCAGGTACGGGGCTCCAACCACATTTAGCAGAGGATCAGGATATTTTAGAGATGAATATAATAGAGGGAATTTGCAGTACAGAGGTTCTCCAAGCACATTTAACAGAGGCACAGGACATTTTAGGAATGAATATAATAGAGGAGGTTTTCAAATCAGAGGATTTAATGGAAACAGAGGTAGAGGATCACATAGAGGTAGATTTAGAGGTAACTATATGAGCATGAGAGGTCAAGGGAGAAATGATGTTGCAAGTTCCAGTAATTTCACTGAACACGAACAATTGAACACTGAGGTGAGGGATATGTCTGAAGATCTGTCAAATGTTTGTTTTCTTACTGAAAATAATGTTTATAATCAAGAGTATACTGATAATCAGATAAAGTTCTTTATAGATTCAGGGTGTACTGATCACTTAACAAATAATGAAAATATTTTTACAGACATAGCAATGTTAGATGAACCAATTAAGATAGCTGTTGCAAAAAATGATAACTACCTGTTAGCAATAGGTGTGGGAAATATTGAGGTGATAAGCACTGTGGGAAATAAGAAGATACATTGTACAATAAAAAATGTTTTGTATGTTCCCAACTTGAGAAAAAATTTGTTGTCTGTAAAGAAATTGGAAATGTCAGGTATAGAAGTTATTTTTGTTGAAGGTTTAGTCAAATTTGTGAATCAAAAGGGAATCATAGGCATAGGAACAAGAAATAGCTTATATGAAATAACTTTTGATTTAGTTAAAAATGAATGCCACAATGTAAGTATTGAAAGGAATAATTTTTTCAAATGGCATCAGAGATTTGCTCATTTGAATTTTCAGAGTCTCAGAAAGGTGATAAATAAAAATATGGTAGAAGGGGTAGAAAATGTCAAAGTTTCTCAAATTGATTTTTGTGAACCATGCACAGCTGGAAAAATGTCAAGAAAACCATTTGGTACTAGATCCAGAAGTAATAAACTGTTGGAAATAATTCACACAGACATTTGTGGACCGATTACACCTGTTTCTTATGATGGAAGTAAATATTTCATAACATTTACTGATGACTTTTCTAATTTCACATCTGTTTACTTATTGAAGCATAAAAGTGAGGCTTTCTCAAAGTTTCGAGAGTTTTACTTAATGACAAAATCAATGTTTGGATTTTCAGTTTCAAAAGTAAGATGTGATAATGGGGGAGAATTTGTATCAAGGGAATTTATAAATTTTTGCAAAGAGTGTGGGGTAATTTTAGATTACACGGTGCCCTATACCCCCCAACAAAATGGGAAGGCAGAGAGGAAAAATAGGACTTTGGTTGAACGAGCAAGAGCAATTATTAATGAATCTGGAGTACCTAAGCAACTATGGGGTGAAGCTATTTTAAATGTAAACTATGTCATAAATAGAGGGCCAACAGAAACATTGGAAAATAAAGTTCCAGCAGAAATTTGGTATAAGCGAAAACCAAATGTTAACAATTTGAAAGTTTTTGGAACCATTGCATATAATCATTTACGAAAAGAAGTAAGGGATAAGTTTGACTCTAAGGTAGAAAAATGTATTATGGTAGGATACACTTCTACTGGATATAGATTATGGAATGTTGAAAAAGAAAAAATAATAATATCAAGGGATGTAGTTTTTAATGAAAATTGCTTTTGGTACAATAAAAATAATGTAGAATTACATATTGAAGGAAGTGAAATAGAACAGGAAATAATAGAGACTAAAGATGAAAGTTTAAATGAAAATAATATACATCAGGAGAATGAGGAAAGGGAAGTAGAAGTTGATAGTAGTAATAAAAATAAACGGGTAATAAAACGTCCAGTAAGATTTGGTGACTATGAGTTGTATATGGCCTTTGATGCAATGCGATATGTAGATGAAGTACCACAAAAATTTAAGGAGTTAGAACACAGAACAGATAGAGGAAAATGGGAAGAAGCAATGAAGAGAGAATTAGAGTCTATCAAAAATAATAATACTTGGAATATAGTAAATGAACCTAAAAATAGAAAGATTTTAGATACAAAATGGGTCTATACTTTTAAATCAGGAGAAGAGAAAGAAAGAGACAAGTATAAGGCTAGATTAGTAGTTCGCGGTTTTGCACAAGAGGGTATGTTAGGATATGATGAGGTATATTCACCAGTGGCTCGAATGACTACTATCAGAATATTATTAACCATTGGAAATCAGTATGGATATTATTTTAGGCAATTGGATGTTAAAACTGCATTCCTAAATGCAAAGTTAGAAGAGGAAATTTATATTTACCCTCCTGAAGGACTAAAGATTAATAGTGGACAGGTGTTGAAATTAAATAAGTCATTATATGGATTAAAACAGTCTTCAAAATGTTGGAACACTGAAATAAACAATTTTCTGATCAACATGGGATTTATTAGATCTGAAAATGATTATTGTTTTTATAGTTTGAATTCTGAAAGTTCTAAGATATACTTGATTTTATATGTTGACGATATTTTGATAGCTGGTGCTGATTTACATAGAATTGATAATGTGATAAAATATTTGATGAACAAATTTGAAATTAAGGATAAAGGAGAACTTAAGTATTTTCTAGGTATGGAAGTGGATTATAAGAGGGATTTAGGAATTCTGAATTTATGCCAATCAAAATATATAGAAAAAGTTTTAACTAAATTCAATATGAAGGATTGTAAGAGTAAGGATACACCTATAGATCCAAAACTAAGCATAAATATTTCAAATAATGATATATTGACAGACAAGCCTTTTAGACAATTAGTTGGTTGTCTCATGTACTTAGTACAAGGAACAAGACCTGATATTTGCTATGCATTAAATTATTTCAGTAGGTACCAAGATAGAGCAACTGATGAGACTTGGGTATATCTGAAGAGAGTACTTAGATATTTAAGTAAGACTTGTAACGTAGGAATAGAAATAAGAAGAAAAGCGGACAATAATTTAGTATGTTATGTTGATGCAGATTGGGGGAATGACTCCATTGACAGAAAATCAGTTACTGGTTTCCTTTTTAAATTATTTGGGAATTTGATACATTGGGCAACGAAGAAACAAAATTGTGTAACCTTATCTTCTACTGAGTCTGAATTAGTAGCACTTTGTAGCTCAGTTAGTGAGGGATTGTGGATAAAGAAACTTTTATTGGATTTTGATTTAGATATTCAAACTATAACTTATTATGAGGATAATCAAGGTTGTATTGCTCTAATTAAAAATCCAGGGAACAATCGTAGAGTTAAGCATATAGATTTAAAGTTTAATTTTGTGTATGATAACTTAGAAAAGAAACATATTGTACTGAAATATGTAGATACATCTTTGCAACTAGCAGATATTTTGACAAAAGGTTTACAATATGCTTCATTTGCTAAGTTTAAAGATTATTTAGGTCTTAGAGATTTTAGCGAGGGCGGGTATGAAGTATATCGCTAAAATCTTCTCTGCTGGTAGTTCTAGTTTAGTTATGGTGTAGGTGGTTCTGTGTATACTTCATTCATATGTCAATTATGTCATGTCAGAAGTGTCAACGTCATGTATGTCACACATGTCAGAGAGACTTATAATCTTAATGATGAGATGGTAATTGTAAAAGTTGTAGAAGGTATGAAGGGTTTGAGTAAATCAATATAATGAAGATGCAGTGTTTTATTACAAAAATAATATAATTATCAGTTAGAATTATATATTAAGAATAAATATTCAAGACTGGTCAGTACTGTCAGTTGATCCACTGACTCTGCTGAAAATCTATGTTCCGAAATATAA